CTCAGTTCACTGCCCTATGAACTAACTTGAACAACCTTCATATCTAACGTTTCCAGCTCCAGTACAAGTGACCTTTTCATTTGACGTGGGGAATGGGCCTTCTGAAATCTCGGTGCAGTCACCCACTCATTTCAACGATAACCAGTGGCACCACGTTAAAGTCGAAAGGAACGTGAAAGAGGCATCGATTCGAGTGGATCAGCTCTCACAAAAGACACTGCCTGCCCCTGCTGATGGGCATGCCCTCTTACAGCTCAACAGTCAGCTCTTTGTGGGTGAGCTCTGCTGTTAGGCAGTTTCTTGTTTCTTTGTGTGGTGTAGGTGTGGGGATGGGCCAAAAGAAGGTAATATCAACTATAAAACATAATAATAATAGCAACAACAAATCATATTTATTGAGATTGCCATAAGTCAGAATTGACTTGAAGGCTACAGGGTTGGTTTTTGGTTTTATTTACTAAGAACCTACATTCCAGGTGTTTGTTTCATTTCTTCATCACCAACCTGTGAAATAGGTATTATTTTGCCAATTTTATGAGATAACTGAGGTTCAGGGGGCTGAAGTGACTTGCCTTCAGAAGTCCATCTAGTCAATGAGATCCAAACCTGGGTTTGGCTAATTTCTAAGTCTGCATTAATATTATTGACTATTTTATTTGTTCCAGGTTTTTGTTTTGTTTTTACATCAGCACTTTTAGCATGATGTTGGAAATGTTTATCTCTGTTTCCCATGAAGTTGGTGACCCATCCTTGAACAGCCCTTCTCCTGGTTTCCCTCATTTTGTCTGTTTTTCTGATAGACCCTGATCACCTACTCCACATTCATATCCAAATGTTGCTCCTTTACTTCCTGCATCCATTCTCCTGGCATTTGTATTTCTGAGAGTGGAAGCCTTTTGCGTTTGTTTGTTTTATTTTGCATCATTGCTAATTACTTTACAGAATTCATAGACCTTGGAGATCAAGGAATTATCTTTTACTTGATCATTTCTCATACATTTTAATGTAAATAAGAATACAACACCGTATTAAGAGGAATAAATGAAAAAATATCAGAAATTATATCTCAAGATTTTCAGAGCTATGTATTAGAACAAAATTAATCAGATCCCCATTACACTTTCTACTGCTTAACACCTTTGTCTTCTTAGTTCTCTTCCACTACAAAGAATGAAGCTTATTTGTGACATATTTTACTAAGGCACATTTAGGATTTCTCATGAATTTATGTACTCATTCTTTCTATCAGCTATTCTTTCTTTCACCCAATAAATATGTAATGAACAGTTTCTACAAGCAGGGCCTATACTAGACAATCTTGTCTTTTGGCCCCCTGATGGACTTATTTAAGGATGTGGGAATAGCAAAAAATACATGAAAAAAATATATAACTTTTCTTTTAATAATGTGCTGGAAGCTCACAGTCAGGAAAATGACATAGATATTTTTTGAATTTCAAAAATCGAGAGATGACCACAACAAAAGGTATGGCAATTTAAAATCTGTCAGTAACTTGGAAATAGCCTTACTATTCTTGGAAATTGAGAGGGCTGAAACAGTTCTCAAATATTTCAGTGACATCTGCTGCAGTTTGCCAGTAGATGACCTTTCATCCTTGGTAAGAATTTCAGCTACATAGAAGTAGAGTCACTATGCATTGTGTCTGATGAGAATCCTGGCCTTAATTTGATTTCAGATAGTCATAAGGGATAGAGGTGCTACTCTGAAATCACAAACTGTGTTAGAAAAGACTTGAGTCTTACGTTACCAATTATATGATATATTTTTAATAAGGAGTGAAGAGATTTCATTATTATTGAAGCAATTGGTTAGGCCTTTGACATTACCACACCTATTCAGAACCAAGGATGGAGGTATTTTCTGCAAGTCTTTAAAACTGAAATCTTTATTACATGTAAGGCAAATTCATTGAAAATTAAAAAGAAAGGCAGAAAGAAAAAGCTCTGAAAAAGTGTTTTACTTGCTATTAATAAAAATCTGTTTATAAAATTCCCTCCAGATAACTGAGTAAAATTGACATGGTTTTATGGAGATTAAGAAAAGGATTCACTTAAAAAAAGGCTTGCAGCCTGGGGTAGAGACAGATCATAGGCTGTCAAAAGGTCATGCAAGATGCTTCTTTATAGGTTT